GTTGCTTCCATGCGTGGGCGGACTCTTAAAAACAGCACCAATTTAGAGTAACAGCAGTTACGAACAAGAAAGTGACGTAGTAAACTTTGTCGCTTCTGGTACTCTTCGTCGGAAATGTTATACTTCGGTACTCGCGACAAGTCATCAAGCTCGGAGGCGGCACCGGTAGTGTCGATCACGTGCAAAATCATGCCGTCTTTCACCTGCAGATCCGCTAGGGTCGATGCGTCGTTGGTCACTTGGGTGATGACCTTGCCATCGACGTTCTTTAGTTCAAGCAGCATACTTGGCTGGAGCACGCCGGTCAGCAATTCAACATTCTTCTGTAAAGAACGGTAGAAACAGTGCATGGCAAAGAAACTCATGTATTTCAGAGGAACAGTGAACTATGGGTTTCAGAAGTCAGGTACTTATGGATTATTGCCGCTTCTCACAATCTCATAAAGCCTGTACCATCATAAGATAAACAACTAAAATTTTAGTCATCATCGTCGTAAACAGAATTGTGACATGTACTCTTTTATATTCGAGTAGCCTGCCTCCGAGGCAAGGAACTGCTCTCTAAGTGTTCTAAGAAGTAACAAAGATAGATCAAGGGTAACACTGCAAAACAGAGCTAGACGAAGCTTTCGTTTCGTTATTAATCTGTGATCATTTCTTAGTCTGCCGATCAACGTACCCATTCGAAAAAACTAATAACATGAATGTGTAAAGATATGTTGTTAATGTACTTCACCAGTATGTAAGACTTTGTACTTACGACGACCACAGGTACATCTGAACACGGCGTGTGGTAGAGAGAGAACTGCTTATTGTACTATAAAGTTTAGACCTTTAATTAAAAGCTAACTCAAACAATCCAGAAATTCTGATATTATAACCATCTATTGTCACTGTGTTCAGATCGCAGATGGTAAGATACAAGTACATTCGCTTTGAGGTCAGAGATGATAGCTGTCTCAGGTTTGTTCAGATGAAAGATAGCGAATGTCCAACGACGTACACACCGTGACCGATCTCAGGTCATCGAAACAACTCATCCAGTGTCTTAAGATTATAAGAAAAGAAAGAAGGTTCGCTTTACTTTTATTTAGTGCTTTTATTTACTGTTCTGACCAGTACGCTTAGCAAGCGTGG